AGCTTTTTTTAGTTATTTGACTATTATACCTCTCATTTGAATCCAACTTGCAGCAGTCACTACCTTCTCCGCGTGGGTTAATGGTCAAATAACTGAAAAAAGCTGTGGCATTAACATTAGTGGCTGTGGCAATAACACCACCCCCCTAGCTCTGTCCCTAAACATTGCAATGTATGTTCGATTCCATTCGAGGTTGGCGAAAAAAAAAATATATATATGTATATAAATATGTATAATATTTACCTCTTATCTTTTAAAAATTAAAAAAAAATTATTTAAAATTATATAATTTTAATAAATTTATATTGAAAATAATTAAAATATTTTATTTTTAAAGTATAAATTAAAATATTTTTATTTTCTTGTAATACACTAATAAAAAACTCAAATTTCACCATTTTCAACTCACTCATACTCTAATTCCGTATGAATAACAACACACAACACCATACTCCAGTTAAAAATTGAAGTTCTATACAAACCTGAACCAGAAACACTACCATCCAACTGAGCCTCCATCAAATCGTTACTCCTTCAAAAGTCAACTAATCCAACGGTTAAAACTCAATCATCTCATCCCCCACTGACCACTGTAAAGGCTTTCATATTTCTGCAGCTTTTGTTTCTCTTCCTTCACTTCTTCTCTTTGTCTCAAACAGAAGAGAAAGAAAACAGAGGAAGGGAAAAAATCAGTTGAAGGAAAACAGAGAAACTAAAAAAATGGGTTTTGGTTTTACAGCATTTCTTCTTTCTCTCCTCATTGTCTTCGTGAACCTTGGTTGTCTTAATGGGAGCTCCGAGCTCAGAGCTCTCATGGACATGAAAGCTGCATTAGACCCAAAAAACAAGCACCTTTCGTCTTGGACCATCAATGGGGATCCGTGTGATGGGTCTTTTGAAGGGGTGGGTTGCAACGAGATGGGTCAAGTGGCTAATATTTCTTTGCAGGGGAAGGGGCTTTCTGGGAAGCTCTCGCCGGCGGTTGCTGGGTTCAAGAACTTGACGGGGCTTTACTTGCATTATAACTCTTTGTACGGGGAGATACCGAGGGAGATAGCGAACTTGAGTAAGCTCAGTGATTTGTATTTGAATATGAATAATCTCTCCGGCGAAATCCCTCCTGAGATCGGTAAAATGGGCAGTTTGCAAGGTTAGTGCTACACTTTGTCTACACTTTTTTTTAAAAAGAAATTTTAGTAGATTTGTTTGAAAGTTTTGTACTTTGTTCATAATGTGTTTGTTTTAATGCTGCTATGAGTCATATATTCTCCTTTCTCTCTCTCAAATGTAGTAAATGGGAATCCCCAATGCTTGTGTTGTGCTGTTGTTTGATGAGTTCAAAGATGTTTGACTCTGTTTGGATTCTGAGAAATTTATTGATGGATGGTAGTAGAATTGTAGTGTTTTGTTTCTACCGGAATCTGCTTTAAATTAGTTTTTTTTTTTTTTTTTTTTTTTTTAGGAAGCCAAGGTATGACATAAAGCTTGAAATTTACACAAACGCATGCTAGCATTTGTTTATTTTTCTCGCTTTTTTGTTTCCCGTTTGTTCCCTTTGCAGTTTGTTGCTGTGCTGAGTATGATTAGTTCTGCAACTACATTTTGAGTTTTAGCTTAAGAAAGGAAAAGATCCAAACTTGTTACTTAATATATGTGCATCTTACTCAAATGGGTTATCTTTAAGCTTGAAGCTTTCCCAAGTTTGATCGTTTCTTTCTTCTGTTTGACATATGCAATGCAGTGCTGCAGCTCTGTTATAACCAGTTGACTGGAAGCATTCCGACCCAGCTAGGGCTTCTGAAGAAGCTCACTGTTCTTAGCGTCCAATCCAACAAGATTACTGGTGCAATCCCGGCAAGTTTGGGGGATTTGGGTATGTTAATGAGGCTTGATTTGAGCTTCAATCGCCTTTTTGGTTCAATTCCTACCAAATTAGCGGATGCTCCTGTACTCCAAGTTTTAGACGTCAGAAATAATTCTCTATCTGGCAATGTTCCTCTTGGTAATCCTTTCTCTATGACTTTTTTTTAAAATATTCATCTTGATCTTATGGAAGAGAGTAAGTTGATATTCTTCTTCTCTACTTTATTGATGCAGCATTAAAGAGGCTGGATGAAGGATTTCTGTTTGAAAATAATCTGGGTTTATGTGGATCCGGGTTTTCATCGATAAAAGCTTGCAATGCTTCAGACCGTGTCAATTCTAGGCCTGAACCCTTTGGACCAGGTGCAACCGGTCTTCCAACAACAGAAATGCCAGAGACAGCAAATCTGGAACAGCCTTGTAGCGAAACTCGGTGCTCAAAATCATCAGAATCCCGTCAGGGTTCTGTTGTTGTTGTTGTTGGAATGATTATTCTAGCAGTTGCACTTTTGGCTGCAGTAATTCTGACTTTAACACAATACCGTCATAGGAAACAAAGACTAGCGAGCTCTATTGAAACTTCTGATAGCCGATGTAGCACTGACCAAGCCAAGGTGCCTTACAGGAAAAATGGCTCTCCACTCATTAGCCTTGAGTATGGCAATGGATGGGATCCTTTGGCTGATTGCAGGAGTTTTAGTGGGTTTGCCCAAGATGTCTTCCTTAGCTTCAGGTTCAATTTGGAAGAGGTGGAGACAGCTACCCATTACTTCTCTGAGATAAACTTATTGGGTAAGAGTAACTCTTCCGCAACCTATAAAGGGATTCTGAGGGATGGTTCTGTGGTTGCTGTTAAGTGTATTGGTAAAACTAGCTGCAAATCAGAGGAATCTGAGTTCTTGAAAGGACTGAATATCCTGGCTTCATTGAAGCATGAGAATTTAGTGAGGTTAAGAGGATTTTGTTGCTCAAAGGCCCGGGGTGAGTGCTTTCTGATTTATGACTTTGTCCCGAATGGAAACTTGCTGAGCTATCTCGATGTGAATGATGCTGATGGCCACGTCCTAGAATGGTCCACTAGAGTTTCCATCATCAAGGGAATCGCCAGAGGTTAGAACTGCTTTCCCATTATTGTTAGGTAGATTGCTTGTTCGGTTGGTGAAAATTTTTCAATGCAGTGTTGCACAATCATTGCAAAACATATTGACTGGATAATATGGATCCTGAAAATCATAGCAAACACATTCTGAAATTAACTCAATTTTTCATGTATCCATTCCTATGTTAGACACTACAAAATCAAGGTGGCTAATCTAGGAGATTGTTGTTTAATGTGTAGACTGTAGAGTGTTCTAGACTAATATTGTTTTTTCTTGAGCAGGAATTGCATATTTGCACACGTACAAAGTAAACAAGCCTGTCCTGCTTCATCAAAACCTTTCGGCTGAGAAAGTGCTCATTGATCAGCGACTCAACCCATTGCTTTCTGATTCGGGGCTGCACAACCTTCTTACCAATGATATTGTTTTCTCAGCACTCAAGGCCAGTGCTGCCATGGGCTACCTAGCTCCAGAATATGCCACCACAGGCCGGTTCACTGAGAAGAGTGATGTTTATGCATTTGGAGTTCTTGTTTTCCAAATCCTCTCAGGGAAGCGAAACGTGGCTAGTTTGGTACGTCTTGGACCTGATTCATGCAGATTCCAAGATTTTATTGATTCCAACCTCCTCGGCAAGTTCTTCGAATATGAAGCTACTAAACTTGCACAAATTGCCTTCCTTTGTACTCATGAATCTCCTGTTGAAAGACCATCCATGCAAGCAGTTGTGCAGGACCTCAGTAACTGCAGTAGCTGCCTCTAGCCGCTACCAGTAGCTGCCTCTGGTGCATTGCTAAACTAAACACTGGCCGATGTCGAAAAGGGTTCTGATATTTTGTGCTTGTGTCCTCTCGCTGAGGACTAAACCTTGTCAATGTAGTGCCTTGTGTTCATAGGGAAGTGTGGGGGTATTTTTCATCTATGACCATCTCTGCCCTGGGGAAATCTGTGAAGAGGTGGACTTTACTCCCATTAATTCTCTGTTTACAATTAAAGATTCTGTGATGATCGTCGAATTAATCTAAATTGGAACTCAAACTTAGATTTCTCTGGCTTGTGGAAATCTCACCATTGGATGGTCACTCAAAAAATAATTATAGAAAAAACCAACATAATTTGGGTGAATTTTTTTAATAGCAACATAATTTTAGGGACAGCACAACACAAACTCGCACCCCATCATGCACCTGCACCGTACGGTAATCTCAAATGCATCTTTTATCATTTTAGATGTATATGATTAACCTATCTAGTTGTAGAAAAACAAATTGCAATCCGAACATTAAAATTATAAAAGTACAATTAGTCACTTTTTCTCCCTGTGGTAATTCATTAAGGATACCTGGATAATTTTACCATCCGGGTTATACTATTTTTTTGTTGTAAAATTCATATTAAAAATTTGAGAACCCCATGAAGAAAAATTTAGTGTCAATTACCTAAATAATTTAATAATAGTCTTTTTCCAACCAAAATAAGAGTTTTAAAATTTAAATCATATAGTATATAAGTGAAATAAATTAACAAATAAAAATAATTATCTTCTAGTGTAAAATTCAAAGTTAATATATATATATAAACCAACGACTTAAATAATTTGATTGTAATCTATTTTCACTAATAGAAGTAGGAGGTACTAAATTTAATTCGTAAGATAAGTAGGTAGTATGAAATAAAATATGAGAGAGCATTTTTATTTATGGTACAACTAAGATAAATGAAAAATAAAAAATTTAGAACCTCACGTGGGCTAAGCCTGGATGGACTCACGAATGGAGTAGGAGAGACCATATTTGATCCCAAAGTAACGGGCTAACACGGCTTCACGTTGGGGGTTAAAGGACCAGCCCATGTTCAGGATTTTGGGCACATTTGAGCCCAAACAAAGGGCTTTCTTTCTTTGATCAATAGAAATTTGACGAAGTAAACGACGTAGCAGTGAGATGCCGCGTAAAGAGACTAGGATAGGACTTTGCAGGCGCAAGGAAAACGGAAGGGAAATCGTTCCGCGACGAAGACGATGGGAAATGCGTTTTGCATATGCTGTGGCTGCGTCGATCAAGCCAGCGTCGGGGTGGTCGAGCGCTGGGGCCGTTTTGAGAGGCTGGCGGAGCCCGGTCTCCACTTCTTTAACCCCTTTGCCGGTCAGTTCCTCGCCGGCATCCTCTCCACCAGAATCTGCTCTCTCGACGCGGAAATTGAAACCAAAACCAAGGTTAATTCACACCTCTATGTTTTTTTATCTAGTAATTATTCCTCGAAACCTGCGTTTGTGGAATTGAATTGCTCTTTTTTTGGAAATCTGGTTTATCATCAACTGTATAAACATGCTTTCTTTGATGTTGTCTTCTTTTTCTCGTTTTCGTTTCATATTTGATGCTATTTACTTGTTTGGTGGAAAGAAGATTTTGGGAAATTGGATTTTGCGTTTCAAGGTTTTGTTGAGTCTGAGAAATTGTGGAAGCCTCTAATGTTCTAGGGCTGATAACCAAAAAAAGGAAAAATGTTCTAGGGCTGGAATGAATAATCTAAATATTTAGAGGCAGGAGAGTGGTTTTGTTGTTTTATAAGAAAAGATTATTATGATTGTGTATATTTTGCAGGATAATGTTTTTGTGAAACTGCTTTGCTCAATTCAATACCGGGTAGTAAGACAAAATGCGGATGATGCATTTTACGAGTTGCAAAACCCCAAGGAGCAGATCCAGGCTTATGTGTTTGATGGTATTGTAATACCAGGGCAAAACCCCACTTGAATCCATTCTGATTGCATTTGGCACTATATATATTTTATGTTTCTTTGGTATTTTCTTATTTGATTGTATTACGTGCTTTGCTAGTGGTTCGAGCTCTTGTTCCAAGAATGGCACTGGATGAGCTGTTTGAACAGAAGGGTGAGGTCGCTAAAGCTGTCTTAGAGGAACTTGAGAAGGTTAGTTTTCAGGTTTATTTTGTTCTCCACCCTGCAAAAAGAAAATGGCAATTAACTAATATCATGATATAGGAGTTACATTACTCTTCATTTTGCAAGAGAAACTCTATTAGCAGTGCAATTATGCAAATAGTAAATATGAAAATTCTTATAGAAACTGAAAAGGTTGTTAGCGAACAACTTGCATGAAAAGAATGTGAGGCATTCAATTATGTGCTGCAATATATGAACATTATAATGCAGATGATTAGTGGCATATGAGATTCCCTCTCTAATTATAAGGTTGGGAGAAACAATAGTGCTTGGCTTGTTCTCAGGTTTGTGTTTTCCAGAATTCAGTATTCTTATCAGTTTCTATGTAAAAGTCCTTGCTGTACTGTGGAAAAAGAGAATGAGAAGTTCTTTTGATGCAAACAATATCAAACTGAATGTGTTTTTTATTTTCTTCTCTTTATTGCTTGATTAATATTGAAATTGATAAGCTTCCTGTTTAGGTTATGGATTCTTTGGATTAAGTGAATAAGTTGAAATTTGTATTGGTAAATTACTGGGTAACTCACTAATGATATTGTAAGGACAGTTCTGATCATATTTGATATCAACACTACCTTTGCCTGTTTACATGCTTCCGTTCATTTTCTAGAATAATTCATATCATATACTGAAGTTATATTCAGGTTATGGGAGCATATGGATATAACATAGAGCACATACTGATGGTTGACATTATACCTGATCCCTCTGTGCGCAAGGCAATGAATGAGATAAATGCAGGTGATGTTTTGACAAATCCTTGCTTTCCTTACTGCATTCACAACTCTTTCTCAGTTTTCTTCATAGTTAAATGCAGAATAAAATGATCTTATCATTGTAAGGTGGAAAATTTTAACAAACTCTGGCATGTAGAAGAATAATTTGTCTCCTCTCTCCTCTTTGTACCAATGGAACTCTGCTCCATTAATGAAAGTAAATCATATGCAAATTAGAGCAATTAGCTAATTTACACTGGCTGAAACAATTCTATGAACATGAAATTGGAGTTAACATGCTTCTAGAGTTGATCTGCTGCATGATTCCATTTTGATTCTGAAAATCTGTATTACATAAAATTTTGCCATTACATTTGAGTGCCTTTTTTATTTGGAGTAATCTGTTTATTTTTGTACCAGAATTCTAATTTCATTTATTAACGCATCTTTGAAACTTTCCATGTGTAATGGCATACTTTATTAGTTCCAGCTTGTAGGATTGTAAAATTATTTTTTTGCTCACTAGTATCTGGAGAAATATAAGCTATTGAAACGGAAGAGTGAATCTGTATTACAGCTCAGAGGCTCCAGCTTGCTAGTGTCTACAAAGGAGAAGCTGAGAAGGTGCTCCAAGTCAAAAGAGCTGAAGCTGAAGCTGAGTCCAAGTACCTGGGTGGGGTTGGTGTTGCCAAGCAGAGGCAGGCAATCACAGACGGTTTGAGAGAAAACATCCTAAACTTCTCTCACAAAGTGGAAGGTACCTCAGCTAAGGAGGTGATGGACCTTATCATGATCACACAGTATTTTGATACGATCAAGGACCTTGGGAACTCCTCAAAGAACACTACTGTTTTTATACCCCATGGCCCTGGTCATGTTAGGGATATCACTGATCAGATAAGAAACGGGCTGATGGAGGCAGCTAGTGCTGAGGCAAATATTCAGTAAAAATGTTCATTGCTAATATAAAGAGAAGACAGCCAGAGGAAGTTGTTAATACAGTTTCATGAGGTGATAAAGTTGCAGTGGTTAGACTGTAAATAAAGGTTTTTTAAGATGACCAGAATGATATTTTCCATCATCTTTTCTTTTTTGGATAGATATTCACCATCATCTTTTGATGAGCAGGTTCTCCCGTGTTTGACAATATAGTTTTCGTCCATTGGCATTTATCCTCATGTAAGAATGTTTCGTATCATTCTATTTCATCTGTTCTTTGCTTTGTTGGTCCATAATGATTTTCTATTGCTTCTTCAATTATCAATCTCCTGTTTACCTACTCCTCTAGTTGTAAGAACTTGAAAATTCAAGTTGAAAGTCTCATAGGTGGGAATTCTGGAAAAGTGAGTAAAAATTAGATAAAAAAGTATTATGTAGTATAAGTTACATTGAATTGTATAACTTAAATTATTCACATAATATAGAAGTCTATTCTCATCCAATAGTCCACGTTTTGCAGTTCAAGTTACAAATAAAAAAAACTCTAATTAGACAGACAAAAATAAATAGATAAATAAGAAAGCTATCGGCTAATCAAATCAAAGAGATCAAGCCATTCTCCTTGTATATCCTGTGAATTTAAAAACATGCTTACTGAGTTTTTGTCCAGGGGTGAATTGACTTGAAGGGCCTAAAGCTAAAGTGCTTTTGGCCTTCTGGACTCCATTCCAGGCAACTACTGTTAAAAATAAAAACTAAAATAAATAAAGAAAAAGATCCCATGTGCAGCATATGCGTCAAGTTAGTCAGCCATCATCAGATGGAAGATTATGTTATAGATTCAAGAAAAAAAAGTCGATGGACAAGCTATATACATGGATATTTGCAATAGTTCTCCTTTCTTATTGAAGTGAATCTTCAATAGGGTGTTCGCTTTGGTAGACATACTTCTTCAGTGTTTTTGCTGAAACCAGTGCTGCTGGTACCCTGCATGCAACAGGTATAGCTGCTTATCAGCTGAATCTGCCGTGCTAGGAAACCTTTTCATGCTCTGGGGGCAAATATTATTCTCAAAGGTAGAGGAAGATATAAACCAAAGCAATGGGGTCAGATATGTATACCTGATAGCTAATATAACCTCTGTAGTTCAGAGCATAGGTTGATGAAAAAGTAGAGCCTACGGCAACAAACAAATCATCAAAGCAAAGCATTATGAAAACATTAAAACTCTAAAAAGAAGATGCAACAAATGGAAACCCCGAATTAAGATGATCTTCCTCCAGCATAAGGAACAGATAAATTTCCATAGAAAGCATCACCAAACTGTGACTTCACTTTTTACTTCACAAAGTATACCATTCTTTCCTAGCAAGATTATGAAATTAAATAAATAAACAACAAACGTCTCAGTTTCATAAAAGGGCACATTTGCACCCACCTAAAGGATGAAGTCAGTTGAAAAAAGCCCCTGAATGATCTATTGCTATTAACTACATAGAAGCTAGTTACTTTATCCTTCATAGTAAAATTGTACTTTGATTTTAGGTCAACTGTATTCATTATTAACATCCCTCTTCCCAAGTCCCAACAAGATATACACATAACCAGGTGCAAGTACACATGCATGTGTCTAAGACAGAGATCAAATTATTCTATAAACATATGGAGGCAAGTTTTGCCGAGAGTATAATGGTTTCCAGGATGATTCCCAAACAAATTAGCAGAAAAATTAGAAATATCAATGGTGGGGAAGCATGCACGTAGGAGACTGAAAACTTTATAGCAAAAAACATATTTTACAAGACAAATCATGCTACCTCCCCTGCAAGCAGATCCTCAATTGCCTACACCATTGTATGCACCAGTTCTGCCAATAAATTTGTAAGTGTATGTATGAAACAGAGAAAAGAAGAATAAAAAGTGAACTCTAGGAAATACAGGTAATATGCATGCAAAAAACCTTGTTGTATAATCTACATCGAGGATTTGTTTTACACTGGACTCAATTAGTCCTGCATGAGGAAGACTATCTTTAGCCTGTGCAGGTTGAAGGTAATCAGCATGGGATAAACCTCCATTTCGGAATGAAGGTTCAAGGTAGCTTGCATGGATTTGCTCATAATGGATAAGAGAAGGTTCATTTAGTCTCTTGTAATATTGGTCTTTTATCCTCACAGGTTCCAGGTATCCAGCATGGGGCTCCTGCAAGGAGCCATTTCCAAGGGTCAAATCAGGAAATGCAATAACCACGAGATAGCTGTGTGAGAAAGCTCAGGTTACCATATATGAATGGGGTCTCTTGGATCTTGAAATAGCATTCCCAGCATAGACTGGATAACCACTTGATAAGGGAGCATAATCCTCTGCATATGACATTCTATATGGAATAGAATTTGTAGTATAGCCTGGTTCCCTCCTAAAGTGAGATTTCCTTTTTGAATTTCTGGAAGAATCCTTATTCTGAACTTGAAAATTGCCTCAAAACAGGACAGATGACACCATTCAGGGATTCATACACAAAGTCACTAATTTTGGCGTAATTAAATAATGTCATGGGACTACCATATGGTTTCTTTGATGGCCTCTTATTATAGTCTAGATGACTGCCTCTCTTCCTTATTCTTCCCCTGTGATCTGTTTTCCCTGACTTAATTGGGGGACAATCATCATGAGCTTCAGCAACAATGAGTTGTAACTTATTTGATCCACCTCTCATCCTTTTCCTTCTCCTTCTACGTGTTTTCCCAGACTTGGAAGGCAGACTACCATCATGAGCTTCAACAACAACACTTTGTGATTTATTTGACCCACCTTGTTCAGTATTTCTCTTGTTTGAAAGAAACTGGCTGTCTTGCTCAGGAATTGGCATTGTCATTTCCTCAGTCATCTCAGATTTGTTAGTAACAGATTGCCCTGTTAGCTTAGCCTTTTTTTGAGCAACTTCTAATTGTGCATGACCAATGATCTTCAAGCCAATTGTGCTTCTATGCATTTCTCTATCTTTGAATCCTCTACAAGCACCCTTCCACAGCCGTCCTCTAAAAACTAAAAAGGGGCTTCATAATGTCAGCTTTAACCTGGCACAGAAATTGACCATAAGAGCTGATGCCTAGTGACTATATAGCCACAATTAAGTGATCCCAATTAAGTGGGAGTAATATGCAGGTGCAGGGTTCAAAACATCCCCCATTCTCCCCACCCCCAAGATCTTGCTTCCTCACGATGCGTTCCCACAACCAACTTTAGCAAAAGAAAAATAAAAAGAAAAGGAAGATAAAATATATGACTCCAATTTAATCACCTTGACTTCTCCAAACTGTGCCCCATTGATCCCTTCAATACAAGCTAGTGCACTCTCTCGGGTGGTGAAAGCAATAAATCCAACATCATTGCCTTTCTTGCCGAAATTCTGAAATAGTTCAACTCTTTTGATCAGACCATATTGTTTACATGTCTCTTTCAGCTTCTCCACATCCCAAGACTTGGGTAGCCTTTGAAGGTATACAGTTTTTACCTACAGCAGGAGAGCTTGTCAATGGTGCGCATAATGAGATATTAAGAATTCTAGTCTAGTTTAGGATATTATAAATTGGCAGCGAAGGTAATACAGTTGAGACCTTAACCTTGTACCTTATATTTTACTTCTCCTTACGTTTATACTGGAGAATAATCCAAAAAAAAAAAGCCTGCAGTGAAAGTTAGAGCAGTAATTTTGCAAGTTTTTCATAATTTAACTATCCATGACAAGATTGTATCAGATTTTAGAATGGAGAATAATACACAAAAATAGAAAAGCAAGCCAACATGCTCACAATGGCAGACAATAGAATCAGTAGCATTTAGAGATATCCTCACCTGTAACAAAACTCCCTCACTTGGATGCCTTGGAGTAGCAGCAACTTCAGAACATCCCCCATGACCAGAAGTGTCATCTGATGAAGGCACTTTAATTACTTCACTTCCTTCATTTTTGTCACCATGTTCTGAGAAAACCCTGCCCCCACAACTATATTTCTCTCCACCACTATTCTCTTCCACAACATCAACATTAGTAAGGGGACCATCCGTTATTATGTTCTCAAACTTAGATACAGAAGGCTCTTCTTCAACCAAGTTCTCTTCTGCACCAAAACAACTAACTGTATAGTTAACATAATAAAAAACGTGAAAGGTCATCATCAATTAAAAGCAGCCAGAAGTTCCAGTCAGAAAATTACTTATTATGGAAAAAGAAAAGAGATATAGGGAAAACAGCATGCTGAATTTTAGTTAGCACCAACGTTTTCCAAAGCCATAATGTAATTTCACAGAATCAGAACAAAGAAATATGTGGGAAGAATGCAGCTGTGCAAGTACAGAATAAATATACAACCTCCAACAGCATGCTTAATCAGCAAAGTATAACAAACAGGATGGCAGGAGCACATCCATTCTGCCTTTGTATCAGAAGCACAAAGCTCTTGAACCCACAAAATTTTGCATCATGAGTATCACAAAATGATGAAAGAGTCTCACCTTTGTTCAGTAGCAAGAATTACAATACTGGGTTAGACTTAGATTAAGCTAAAGCTTAAACCTTTTGTATATATAATTTCAGTACAGTACCTGCTCTCGCGCTCAACTTGGAATCATCAATTGCATTCTGTGAAGTCCCAACAACGACTGCCGTGGTATAGTCCATAACATCAT